ACCCCAACACACACATCCGCACACACATTCACACAAACACATACACACACCCTTCTGCTAGGATACCATATAAATGAACCCACTAGCAGGAAGGTGGGCCTTCACTGGTGATATGAGAATTCCAGATTTCTGTATCATTACAGCACTCAGATGATACTTATGTGTGCTGGGCACTGCATGTACATTACCTCCTTCATTCAGTGAAGCAGAAGGAGGCTCTAGCTCTCTGATGAAAAGGCTCAGAACAGCTAAACCCTTTGCCCAGGAGCACGTGGTGAGGAAGTGCAGAACTCCAGGCTGAAACTACCTGTGCTGGGACTCCCACCTCCTGTGCCACTTTGGCCACCCACCAAGTCCCCACTCCTTTCCCTCCTTTCTTGCAGGGACCCGAGAAGCCCATAGACCTTCCCTGCCTGCAGCCACATGCAAGGGGGAGGCCCACCCTGAGCCCCAAGTCCCTGTCAAGCTGCTGGGATGCGACCCTGGCCTCTGAGGTATGAGAGGGAGTGTGTGAGGATGGCCACCGACTTGCAGGGTGAACACCAGGGAAAGCAATCCTCCTCTCCCTGCTGGTGCTTGAGGACATGATGCCTGAGCCACTACATCTATCTCCAGACCCAGTGGGTGTGGTCAAGGGTGAGACCTACATGGTAGCAAAGCAGAAGGATGGATGAGTATGCATTCCTAAGGACAAATGGCACCACCTGACAAGCCATCCACCCACTGCCACCCACACAGATGGCTCACATCGGCTGCACAGGCTGCCTGTGACTTGCCCTCAGAGCCATAACTGGTATGATGCTCCTTCCTTGGGACCTGAGGCTTGAAGCCTGGGTTTGTAAGATGGCAGCCTCCCACTGAAAGAGCATCTGCAGCCCTAGGGCAGACTGTATCCACGGGGATTGGTGCTGCTTAAGTATGGGACCTTTGTCTCTAATTAACTGTGATATAGACTGAGAGGAGGACTCTAACCACAAATCCAGTCAGCCAGTCAATCTGAAGCCTCTTTCAAGTTTACTACCCATAGTAATGGCTGCCCCTGAGGAGGAAACCCTGAGGGCCTCCTCAATGTGACTAGCTACTGGATGAGCTAAAAAATGGATGAGATATACTTACTTAAATGAGATATACTCAACCCCTGGCACACAGCAGGCACCCAGTGAACGCCTGGCACACAGGAGGCACTCAGTTAGGTTATTCACTAACTGCCACAAGTTGAAACAACACTAATGTGTCGGAAGTGCTGTTTCCACCCCCGGGGGCCTTTTGAAAACAGGTCTAAGAGGGACTTCGCTGTGACTCATCTGTCATGTCTCCAAAGGCTGGTGTCTGCCCCTTGTCATCACAATGACCGCGAGTCAGCCAGCTGTCTGCCATCCTGTGATCTGTCTGGCTTTTGGTAAAGGCTTCCAGGTATTGGGCCTCTTTCTCTAGAGTCCAAGACCAAACATAGCACAACACCAGGCAGCCAAGCAGAAGAAAAAGGACAGGAACAGAGCCTGAGAACACCTCCTGATGCATCACTTCCTGGATCTCTGTCACTTTGTCCCTGTATCAATTCTTAAGGGCCTCCAAGTAGTAACTGTCACCCACTTTAGGATTATGGTGACCTTTTTATTTTAAACTAGAGGCCTGGTGTATGAAATTCGTGCACTGGGGAGAGGGGATCCCTCAGCCTGGCCTGCACCCTCTCGCAATCCATGACCACTGGCTCCTAACTGCTCATCTGCCTGCTTGTCTGATTGCCCCTAACTCCTCTCCCTGCCTACCTCATCACCCCTAACCACTTGACTGGCTGCCTAATCACCCCTAACCATTTACCTGGCTGCCTCATCACCCCTAACCACTCTACCTGCCTGCCTAATAACCCCTAACTATTCTGCCTGCCTGCCTCATCACCCCTAACCACTCTGCCTGACTGATCACCCCTAACCACTCTGTCTGCCTGCCTGATTGCCCCTAACTGCTCACCTGCCTGCTTGATTACCCTTAACCGCCTCTGCTTCAGCCCCTGCCACAGCAGCTTTCCAGAAGGATGTCTGGAATGGCATCCAGAAGGTCATTCGGCTATCTGATATAATTAGCAAATTATGCTCTTATTATTAAAGATATTAAGAAGAAATCTTTGAATTACTCAATTTAGAACCTCACAAAACCCATTTAGGAAAACATGTTGCCCATAAACATCTCCATCAATGCTTGTTAAAGGGGTCACCTTGTAAAACTAAAAACAAAACAAAAAACAAACTGGCTGAGAAACATAGCTCATATTTTAGCTATTGCAATGCTTAGTGCTGTTCAAACAGGACTTTTTATAGATGCTTCTTAACACATAATGACAAATAATGCAAACAGGCAAATGAAGAGACCAACAGTCCCAACCTTAGGTAATGGGTACTTGTAACTTGGTATAAAATTTCCAGGGGCTGCATAATTAACTGATTGGAAATGCACCTCCTCTCAGATGGCTCAGGTGAAAGGGAGAGGCTCTTCTAACCAGGTCAGGATTTCATGTGACTTTGATACCAAAACCCTGATGAAAAAAATGCCACAAAAGATGCAGGAGGGTTGGGGGGGCAGGGCAGGGGGAAGGGGGGGGGAGACATGGGACTATTTCATGAACCAAACGGAATGAATACATTTTATACATGATTCATTCCCAATGTCTACATGTAACTAAATTAATAAACAGTCTAAGCAGATATTTGCTTATTTACATACCTAAAAAGTTTACATATTGGTCCAAAAGAAGGTTTAAGGGGCTTCTCATTGGGAAAATAGGGAACTGTCTGATATTTAGTCACCTGCTACTGAGATATATAGTCTTTGCTGAATAATACGATGAGTGCCCATCTAATTAATAAACGCAGCAACATTCAGCTTTGCTATGAGCAAATCCAATGGAGAGTAAATTAATGAAAGCCTATTTGGAAGTAGTTTTCAGCTAAAGTCCGTCACGTGTATAGGCTTGCTTAATGTACAACACTCCATGCAGGACTTCTGCTTGCCCAAGAAGACTTCCACTGATTGTCAAAAATTGGTGAATAAAAAACTTTACTTTTTCCTCTCTGAAGGTGATCAAATATAAGATTAGATTTCATTCAGAGTCTTCCTAGAAACTTAGTCCTTATGAGGTGGGCCTGCAAAGAAGAAAGGACTGGAGGTCACACTTAGTTAACACAACAAACAAAAGAGGGGAAAATATGGCCAAAAGCTCCCTAAAGCTCAGGAAGCATAAACATACACATGTATGCCTATAAAGTCAACCAATAACCCCAAATTCCATTCAACAAAATATTAACCTCCTGCTCCTAAGTGGCAGTACTAAATGTCTGATCCCTTGACACGTTTTTTTTAAAAATTCTACAAATGCCACCAGAGTTCAAAGAGCTGAGGTTACCTCCTAACCTCCTGATCAAAGGCAATTCCCATAAGATGAACTGGGAGAATATCTAAAACACGTGGTCATCAAAATGTTTTACTAGAAGCATCATTCCAAATATTATTTGCTTCTTTGACCTTTAATTATGATACCTAGATAACAACAGCAAGGGCGGAGAGGAAAAGTTGGAAAATATGCAACAACACTTGTAACTGAATTTAATCACAATCAAAATCAAAGAAAAACTTAATTCCTCTTCAGCAGTGATCCTAAGTATAAATATGCCTTGACAATTCTTGACCGCCCATTCTTCCTGATCCACAGAGCAAAGTATGGCAAAGCAAAATATGCTATTTAACCCTAAAGCTCACCCTCCAAGGGTTTAAGTTCTTAACCTCAGAGATATTGCAGTACTGAGTGATTCAGGTGGTAACATTTTCCCAGAATCTCAATATTATACACATTGGAAGGATTATTTAAGTAGTTAATGCACCACCAGCTCCTTAAATGGTCAAAGTACAGGAATACGGCTGTGTTTTCTACAATGAATAATCGCAATAGACTGAGAATGTATTTTTTTTCCTTCAAGAAACATAAAACGTGACTACTTTGTTTCTCACACCAATATCCTGAGACTATCTACTCCTCCCCCACGAAACAGTTTCCAAGGTGGCAGAAGGTGTGAAATTACACGTTCTAAGTAGCCTTTGAAATCAAATCACTAAAACTTTCAAGATAAGGTCTTTGACTGAAATAGAAGCAGTGGGTGCTGTACAATATAGTTGCACTCATGCATGCACGCGTGCACACACACACCAAAAAACAAAAAAACTCAAAGACCCTGGGAATGCAACCCTGCCTAAGAGCCCAGAAGAGGAACAGGGTTTCCAACAGACAGAGTCCAAGAAAAGATGGGCCAACACTCCTCCCATCTGCAGGATAACCTCTTCCCTCCTGTTAAACAGTTTGTACTTTGTGTTCTGCCTGTTCACACACCTTCCTCTGCCCAATCCTCCCTGGCCAGACAAGCAAGCAGGAGGCCCAGTCTTCCCAGGAACCGGAACCTGGAAAACATTAAGCACGAACTTTACCCAGGGGCAGGGTAAAGGCAGGTGGAGGTGTGCAGAAGGATAGTCTGGAGGTCTAGGGAAAGAAGGGTTTTTTTCTGGAAAGATGGAGTGGGAGCAAAGTTGGAGGGGGGAGGAGGGGATGAGAGGGAGAACAGCCCCAGCCAGCAGAGGGAACAGAGGGAACCCAGGGACAAGAAGACCTGCCCGCCCCTCAGGGGGATGGGATGTTGCACACCTATGAACATATAACAAGGTTCCCTGGGAGCACGTGGCACCAAAGAGCAAGTACAGGTGGTAGGAAAGGAATTCTAAGGGAGAGGATGGAAGGAAGGCAGGTGCATACAAGAAGTTCAGAAGAAAAAGGATTGGGGGAGGGGAGAACTTGAAGGGTTACACTCATGGAGTCCTTGGAGAAAAGTAAGTTAAAGAACTGCAAGGAAAAGGTCATGTAGAGCCACATGTGTTTTCCCCAGCCCCTCACCATTGCTCCCCACACCTGCAGGGACACACACACACACACACACCCCGGCGCCAAGAAGGCTACCCACCTTTGCCAGGGGCGCGTTTCTGCTGGTGGTCAGTTCGTGCGGACTGCCAGCCTCCAAAGGGAAAACTGGCGAGCCCGGGGCGCTGCCCATCACACGGCCCCCGCCACCCGCAAGCTCGGAGGCCGCCCCCAAGCCGGGGCCAGAGCGCGCGGGAGGGCTGCCTCCGGGGCTGGCGCCAGCGCGGGGCCTCTGGCGAATGCCATCCAGCAGGCGCACCAGCAGGATGTTGGCGGGGAGCTCGTCCACGCCGCAGCCTACCAGGATGCGGCACTCCGGGCAGCGCAGCTCGCGGCGCGAGCACAGGATGCTCTCCAGACAGCGGCGACAGAAGGTGTGCTGACACGGCAGCACCTTGGCCGTGGTGTCCAACCGCTCCAGGCACACGGAGCACTCCAGCAGGTCCAGCAGCGACGACTCATCCATGTCCTCGCCCGTCGCCCGCTGCCAGCGCCACAGCTCCCCCGGCCTGTCCTGGTCGCCCTCGCTCTGCGCGGCGGCGGCGGCCGCTTGGGACGCGCACAGCCCGGGCCCGCCGAGCAGCATGGGGAGGCGCCGGCGGCCGCGCAGCGGTCTAGGCCTCAGGGCCGAAGGCGGGCCCACCGCGGGCCGTGGGCATTAGGGTGGCGCCGCGGCGGCCGCCGGGGAGCAGGGCTCCGCCAGAACTGCCTCCACGCAGGCTGGCGGCCCGAGGCTTGCGGCCGTCGCGGTGCAGAGTGGCACACCGACTGGCCCGCGTGGCCGTGGCGGGAACTGAAGTTCCGCACCCAGCGAACCAGCTCCGGGCCAACGAAGCCTACCTGTCCTTTGGCGCTCGAAGACCGCGGCTAAGGGCTACACCATCGCTGCGGATCCTCCGACCTGCGCAGTGCTCCAGGGGAGCCGCCGGGCCGTCACGCAGCGGACTCTGCGCCCCAAAAGGCCTCCAGTGGCCAGAACTCCCCCGACAGGGAGTAAGGGGAGCGGCGGGGCAGGGCCCAGGGGAGCCGCGTGCGCGCTTCCCGGCGCCGCTGCTGAGCTGCAGCCCCCGCGGCGCTCCATGCGCCCTGGGCCGGCCCGCGCCTGGCCGCCCGCAGAGGGTCAGCCGGACCTTCCTCTTCCTCCGCCTCAGGCACGTGCGCGGGGAGCGCGCGCTGGGGGTCACGGTCGCTGAGGGGCGTGGGAAAGAAGAGGCGTTGTCCGCTGAGCTCCCTGGAACTCCGAGCCTGCCCTGCTGCGAGGCTTGACCTTGTCCCCTCCCAAAGTCTTCCCTTTGGTCTCCGTGAGCCTCGGGCAGAGATGTTTCCTCCCAAGGCTGCTGCGAAGGAAAAGTTTGGCAGGTGTTATCTCGACTGCCTTCGCCAGCGCTGGCCAGAAGCTCGGGGACACAGCCAACACAGCTGGGCATCCACCTCGACGACCCCCCGAGCTCTCCTGGTCGGTCTCCTTTTCAGATGGCGCACAGGAGTGACAGCCCAGCAGCTGTGGGCATGTGGGTGCGAGACGCCCGCAAAGCAGAAAGGGAAGGCGCTTGGGTTGGCTAGGGTGCCCGGGTTGGTGCCGGTTCCTCTAGGCGGCTGCTGCCTCTCCCCGGAATCGCGGTCGGAGGCTGGCGCCGCTGACAGCCAGACCCACACCCTCGCGCAGGTCGCCGGGCTCCGTGCCTCTTCCACACACCGCGTGGCTGGCGTAGTGCGGAGACCCAGCGCCGCCTCGTGAACCCCGCTGCAAAATCTCCTCGGCAGGCGCATAGGAGAGGAAATCTATATTCTTCTTCCCCACTCCCCCGCTTCTGCGAGCGTCAGAGAAACGGAAGTGCGTATGGAGGACCCTGAGAAGCAGGGAAGTTTGGCGGTGGGTTGGAGACGGCTGTCAAGGATTTCCTGCAGTGCGCTGCCCCCTCGTGGCCGCTGTGTGTTCATTCCCGCTCCAGCATAATCCCTGGTCCATTGGGCGGCAGCTACAAAGCCAGGTTGTTGCCAAAGCCAATGTCAGAGGCATTCAGATCCCGCCTAGCAGTCAGCCTGACCTGTGGTGTGTGAAGTTAAGTGTAACTTACTTTTGAACTTTTCAAGGAGAAAATAATATTTGTTAAGGCTTAAGTGCCAAGAATGTGCCTATGAATTATCCTATATAATAAAACGCTAATATGCAAATTGACCAAATGGCCTAATGACTGGTTGCTATGATGCACACAGACCACCAGAGGGCAGACGCTCAATGCAGGAGCTGCCCCCTGGCGGTCAGTGCACTCCCACTGGGGGAGTAGCACTCAGCCATAAGCCAGGCTCATGGCTGGCGAGCACAGCAGAGGTAGCAGGAGCCTCTCCTGCCTCAGAGGCAGCCCTAAGGATGTCTGCCTGCCGGCTTAGGCCTCTCTCCATCCCCTGAGGGCTCCTGGACTGCGAGAGGGTGCAGGACAGCTTGAGGGACCTTCCAGAGTGCATGAATTTAGTGCACCGACCTCTAGTTTTATATAATCCTCTAAACAGCCCTGTGAGATAATTATTTTAACCTCATTATACATGTAAGAAAGGTGAACCTTATAGTTATGAAATAACTGAGGCTGAATTTTGTTAGTTTTGCTATCTCCAGAATTATAAGCTACATATTTTTTATACTGTAATATCCCCAGTGCCTAGGACAGTGGCACATAATAGACTCTCAATAAATATTTGATGAATTAATGAAAAAAAGTTCTCAGAATCATCCATCACCTAGTGGTAATTTGAATACTCAAATCTTAGCATCTTAATTCCAGGTCTCCTGAGCTCATATCAGGCTACCAGTTCCTGGAAACTTTGCTACTGATGGCAGCAGGAGACTTTCCCAACATGCTTTGTGGACATCCCACAGTAGTGTGGAGATTGTTCACATCAGCACAGGCAACTATGTGAGAATGCATCATGGAGCTGCCTGGCTAGCTGGAACCTGGGAGCAGACTTCCTGGGAGGCCCAGAAGAAGGGAATGCACATCCCAGTGCACAGAAATGTCTTCACATTCTCTTTTCACTCTTCAACTGGCTCAGGAACAGCAAAATGGGATTTTCCAAAGGACCTGTTGGCAGAAAAACAGCACCAGGTATCAACTTCAGTTCAGCAACCTCAGTCCTTGAGTTCTGGATGAGAGAAGAATTCAGAGCCGTGACTCCAATTATAAGAGAAGATTATTTAGAAAGTCACAGAGGTAGAAGTGAGCCATAGAAGAAATGGGCTCAGAAAACAGGTTACAGCAAAATAAGGGCCTTAGGAGCTTAAGGGAGAGATGGGAAGGGAGAGAGAGTGCGACGAAGGGGGTAGGAAAGGGGCAGAATGCTCCCTAGAGAGAGCCACACTGGCTCCTCCATCCCCAGGGCTTTTATCTGTGGTTTGAGGGTAGGCTCTCAATAGAATATTCATCATCTTCCCCACGAGTCTCATCAGAGTCCTGGTCTCCACTGACTGGTGGCACCAGAGGAGGAGGATCATTAGTCATTGCAGCTAGACCTGATGTCAGCCAATGGGGTGGTTCAGCCTGGTTTTGCTGCTTTTGGGGGGCCTGAAGCTAAAACGCAGCTGAGGTCTGGATGTTATCCCCAAGGCCTAATGCTTAAAGGAGTGGTGACGCAGGGGCTTGTACTTTTGCCCATTGCTAGACACCCAGGGTTTTCCACCCTGGTGACCCTCTGCATTTGGCCCAGGGTTCCTACTCTGCTCACCCTATCTTACTGCCTACTAGAGACCCAGAATGCTAAATTCAAAAGCATGTGGCAGGGACATGGGACATAAGGGATAGCATTAGGGAATCCCTTAGACACTAGGAAGGCTAGCAGAGAGCAAGCAACCTATGATGACATTTCCTGGGAGCAACAAAAACCAACTTTTGCTAGGTTTTCAAATCAATGATGAGGATCAGGACCCCATGCTGAAGGCCAGATTACTCTTCTCCATGTGATGACATGCTCCTTCCCTGTCTTGCCAATAGCAGGCTCTACTTCCCAGTCATGTGATAGGAAACATGGTCAGTGCTGCAGAGCCTTGCACCCGGGGCTTCAGCCACTGATATGGGCTCCTCTGACACTGTCACAGGCTGGAAGTTTTAGAACCATATCAATAAAGCTTGGATCATATGGTCACTCTCTGGACCAGTGTGTGCTGGCCACAGGAGCAGGATCATATGAAAACGGCCAGCACACTCAGGAGCCACACAGAAGTGAGTTTCCAGAATAGGTGGCATGTGAGGCAGACAGAACCACAGATTTCCGTGCCCATGTTAGAGGCCCAGAACCACCTCTCTGTCCTTAGTTTCCCTCTCTATTATGCACAACTGGGGCCACAAAAGCAAACACAGGATGGCTGAACCTCACATTTCTCAAACCTTTTGTCAGCCCCTGACTTAACCTGCTCCCCAGCACAGACAGGCTGGGCAGGGCAATGCTAGGCCATGGAGCATCGTGGGATTGTAGTGAGCTGTTCTTCACTTTGCAAAGGAGTAGATACTGCTCAGCCCCAGCCTATCACATGCTGCCTTGACAAAATGAGGGTCCAGCATTTCCAGACCTTTCTACTTTTCAAGAGAAGTTGGAAGGCCTGCTTTTCATGTGAGATTGTCTGATGTTCAACAATTGGCAACCAATTTAGCTCTCAAAAAACACCATGTTAGCCAAATAAAATAAATATGTGGCCAAATTGACCCACAGGCCACCAGTTTGCAATTTCTGATTGAAGTAGCCAAGTAAAATGCACTATAGCATAAAGGAATTTAAGGCCGTGAACTAAATAGTTGAAATATTACAAATACAGTTTTATGTTACTCAGTAAATCTGCACATGTTCATTCAGTCAATCATACAAGTAAATGATTGAGAAGATCTGGTTTAATAGTCATTCATGTGAAGTTTTTTGGAATTCAGCTGACCACAAACATAATATGAGCCAACATGAGTCATCAGTGTAATATGGCTGCCCAGAAAAGTAATGAAATCCTAGGATGCATTAATGGAAGTGAAGGAGGGAGATATGGAAAGAAATTGCCTCATTCAGTCTCAATTTTGTAGATTTCATTTGTGGATTAATTTCAATTCTAGGAGCAAATTTTTAAAAATATTTATTGTTAAAAGTATTACAGATACTCCCCTTTTCCCTACTTCCATATTGCCCCCCTCCACCAGGTTTCCCCCACAAGGCCTTCACTACCCTATTGTCTGTGTCCATAGGTAATGCATATAATAAAAGACTAATATGCAAATTAACCATCACTTCGTTACACCCACTAGCAACGACCAACAGCCATGCCCAACAGCCAATCAGGAGTGAATATGCAAATTAACCCTAACCACTTGGCTGTGGCCAAGGAGAAAGCAGAAGGGAGGCTTGGGTTTCCCCAGCAATGGGGAAGCCAAGCTTTCCACCCACCCTGGCCAGCCCAGGCCTCCACTCAAAGCTACAAAGTTTCAATTATAGAAGATA